CAATTTATTAACCTCGAAATTTTTTCGACAACTCCCGAACGTTTGATTAAAGATTAAATTTGCGAGATTAAATTGTTTGTTGAAGAATAAACACGCGAAAAATAACTATCCAGGTAGCAAGTTAAGGTTACTCCACATGATGGAAACCCATTTCACCAAAATGCTCACCGCGCGCTCAATTTTCAAGTTTTCCCCTTCAAATTTCGCATGCATAATAATAAATCATTGCTTTAGCTAACGATTTGCTAAAACTTCTACATCTTTAAAAACTATACTTGCTACGGGCTGCTTTTGAAAATATGACGGCCTTTGCGCAGCGAGATTAGAACACTTCTGATTTACCTCAAAGGCTTCCGAAACATAATATTTCCCATCTCAAATGATCAAAGAACAAAACCGTGTTCGCGTTTTTTGACAGGTATTGTATTTGCTTTGATATAAAGCAGAGAAGTTGACTCATGTAAATTTTGGGAGAACGGCAGAACGGATGCCTATAACTTGAAAAGTATGGCACCAAATAAAAAACGCGAACACGGTTTTGCTCTTGTGCTATTGTTCAACATTGTGGCAAAGTTTGGAGGGAATCGGATAAAACGTGCGCGTTTCTAAACTATTTTTGTGTGGACAATCTGAGAATATTTCGATCTCCGTAAAAGACGATAAAAGATTTCGCGGGGTTTTTCCGTTCTCTGTTATGTGTTTCCGCCCTCTGTTATCACCTCAAACTGTAATCGGATTAAAAATTATTAAAGTGTTTTTGGTAAGATTTTTCGGTGTCATTTACTCATCCGTTTATCACAACACGTGCAAGAGACCAGACACAAAAAACTTGGAAATATGCCGGCAAAACGTAAATGTAGAGAAGGCAAAGCTACAGAGGCATCTAAATCGTGCAAACGGAAATGTAGTAGAAGATCTGTTGTGCGTGACGAAGATTTAAGCGATAGTGAAGCGGACAGCAAACAAGTTTTGATAGAGGACATAAAAGCTATTGGGTATGTATAGTATTTTGTTTATATCCGAGTTTCCTGGTTTTGCCTGTATAAGATATCTGAACTGTTGAACAATATATCATTTTTAAAATGCAGATTCGATGGGTCAAGTTTCGTAAAGAATCTTGAAGCAAGCGTAGCTGATCGGCAGAAAAGAGGAAAGCCGCCGAGGAAAATACGCTATGTCCATTACTGTCAATGGGCGCATGCTTTGCTGGTGAGTTTGAATGCTACAAAGTCAAATACGATTTTTTCCAAATTGTTCCTGTAAAATAGTCTATAATAGGGAGTGTTTATATTTATATTTAATCAACAACAAAATACCAGTTTTGGTATATTAAGATACATACATAAAAAATCTACACCACATTACATACAAAAATATAACAATTTTACTAATAACCTAATGGCTAATTCAGTTAAACTTTCAAAAACTGCTAAAATGTCGTAACAGTATTTGGCAACCAAGTTCATAATTGTCTTGACTTGAATAGCCATGGTATATCTAAAATATTTTGTCGAGTGAACAAACAGAAAGAATAGGCGAACTAGCGCCGTACGTAGCGCGGGTAGCCGAACAAACTCGGCCGGGCCAGCCCGCTTCCCATATTAACGCAAGTTACATTGCGAGGTTTAGATCTCGGCAAAGCGAGCTAGCTCGGGTTTCCGGGCTAGCTCCCTGAGCGAGCTCGCCTCCATATAAAACTCCCCCTAATTACATTTTTTTTTAACTTTTCAACAGAAAAATAACATTGGAGGAGAAGACGCCGAATATGGTTTTCCATGTCAAGTGCTAAACTTTATTAGGCACATTGCTCCAGGTGATGTGAAAGGTGAAATTAGAGAGGTAAACATATTGTTCGACATGTTTTATAAAAATTATTAGCTTTATCTCGCACTTTTAGCTTTGTGGAAATGTCTCGGACAAAACGTCTATATGATAATCATGACGGAAATGTACCATGCAGTTACTGTGTCCGCGCTATATTACATATATATTTGGCTGGCGTAGCACATATACGGGCTAAACATATTTCTTGGATATGGATATTCAACTACTCACTAGCGTTATTATTTTATCTTTGTCACTTGATCTTGTACTTGTATTTTTAATTTATTAGAATTCGATTTCCTCTAGCCTACCTATACATGTTTCAAAATAATTCACGACGCTTTATGATTTATTTTATAGGATGCATTCCCTGTTACTCTGAAGGTTTTCTGCGAAGTAATGAATTTACCACATGCATAAAATATTATTGTATTTGTATTTTATAATTACAAATTGTGTACATTCATCATTAACTTTACATATAGTACAAAATAATTAGATATAATTATTGAAATGTTTGTATTTTTACAATGTTCTCGTAGTACCCAGGTAGTGATAATTACAGATAAAAAAGTATTTTACTCCAAATATAGTGTGGATTCTATTATACATTCATAATATAATGTTCAATGTACCATACACCTTCCATAATAGACCTTTCCCCTTATGAGTGAAATTTTGATCTAGACAAGTCTGGACAAAAATTTCATCACAGCTTGAAAGAGCATCACAAAATTAGTAATATAGTCCAAAGTTTCGTTGCAAAATGTTGTAAAATGCGGATAATATAGCCTTGCGAAGTTTGCCGTTTTTCAGTCATTTTGCATTACAAATGGGAAATTGTAATCAGATGATCAAACTGATTATCAATTTCCCATATGTAATGCAAAATGACTGAAAAACGGCAAACTTCGCAAGGCTATATTATCCGCATTTCACAACGAAACTTTGTGATGCTCTTGCTTTTTCTTTACTAATTTTGTGATGCTCTTTCAAGCTGTGATGAAATTTTGGTCCAGACTTTTGTCCAGATTTGTCTAGATCAAAGTTTCACTCAAAAGGGGAAAGGTCTATTAGCGTCACCTTAGTATATATACACATCATAAACTTGCGGTTAGAGCTCGACAACTTTTGTCGAGCTGTAGCCGCAAGTTCAACTTCATGTACTGTAGATACATATTTACTGTATTCTTTAGCTCAGTTGGTTAGAGCAGTGCACCGGGACACAGGTTTGATTCCTGCCAGCGACTATCATAAGATTCATAACTGTTTTTATATTGTGTTCTAATCTTTATTCTAGCTCTTCTTTTTACGTTTTCTCTTTGTTTTGCTCTTTCTGTTTTCCTTTGCTGCTGCTGCAGCTGGCACACTTTTCCGACCATCACCATAGAACTCTTGTGACTTGTACTGAATCCCCTCTTTATGCACAAATGCATCAGCTTTGTTTGCCCTTTGCCTTTTATATTTCTTTCTTCGTTCCTTAACAGCTGACTTCTCTTTGTACTCTGCTGTGTCTATTCTTTTCTTATCCACTTTCTTCCATTCATTCACCATTTTCTCATCAACATCCAACCCTATCTTTGGCAGCAATTGCGAGTATGTAATTTCCATTCCACTGTTGAACAACAAACAGCCAAGACTAACAGCTAAGCTTGTTTCGCGGGGAGATGTGTACTGCTCTTTAGGGGCAACCCCCAAATAACATGATGTAAAGCCTCATTTGGGTTTTGAGTTGCACATCTTCCACAACCAGCAAGAAAGTTTGCATCACCGAAGCGATCGAAAACTGGTTTGATCACTTCGATAATGGCAGGGGGGAACGGATTCTTTACAGGTTTGTGGAATGTTGTATTATTGGCGACATCCCTTTGGTACGAGCACCACGAATCCTTTCCAACTGGACAAAAGGTATGCTGGGGGTTCTCCTCGGTACTGGCATAATGATACATTATAGCTTTGGTAACCTTAGCCATTGCCTTTGAATCGCCTTTATTTTGGCGAATACATAGGCCGTAAAAACTTTGGATAGCATCGATCCGGGCTATGGTCAATCTACCAGCACCACTCAAACCCTTCCCATCTGCAAGTTTTTTTCCTTATAAATGAAAATAGAATAAATATAAATGTTGAAACTATTTCTTTATGACGTACGTGCACTGAGATTAGGCTATTCAAGACGAGTTAACTTTTTATTTATACGACATATGTTTGTCATTTGCAATCAACCGTAAAACGCACACTATTTTTCGCGTTAGTTTATTTTGAAACATACATGTTTGGCGGGTAAAACGTGCACGTTTGATCTATGAAATGACTCAGTACATCTTACGATTTGAGAAGCTGAAGTTTCATTACAAAGTTCAAACTGTATCGTTAGTGCTGTCATAAAAGTGCATGCCTGATCTCAACATGCATACGTGCATGTTTCAAACGAAAACAGAATTTGCGTTTTTAGGTTGACAGTATAAGTGTGCAATATTTACCTTTATAGTCACGGACGAGTGATCTCAAATTTGTTCCCATTCTTTTGGTTACATGAGCTATACAATCAACTTTGGGAATAAATATTGTTTCTCCATATGGTCTCTCTATGCAAACTCCATTGTAGGAGGAGGAATCGCCATCACCAATAAATGGAATGTACCGTAACTTCCGCTTCTCAATTGATCTCCTATATAGTTGCAATACCCCTGATGATTCCATAGCCTAAAATTATATTGTGCAAAACATTTAATCATAAAGCTAACAGATTTTAAGTATATATATATATATATATACATCATTCTGCTTGCGCTGGGTATGGAAATTATATAATACACACTCTAGAACATTTTCATCTTAACATATTACAGAGTGTACAATTACACACTTAACATAACACTTGCAGAACTAGTATTGTTCGATGCTG